TTGTCATATGAAATGTCAGACAATGGATGGAGGAACCAGCACAAAACAGCACATCCAGGACATGCACAGTAAATCCATGGTGGTTGTGTACGAGAATATGACTCCCGCAGGGCCCCCACCCTCTCTCAACCCGAGATGCCAAAACAACATGTCGATGCTCTTTCTGTGCCTCCTCTCGCCTGTTTTGAACCATCACTACATCTTCATTCTCCCTCTCCACCACAATTAATCTCTCCTGCCTCTATCCCCGAGGATCGGGCCGATAATCTGAGCCGTCTGTTCGCCACCTGCTCCGATGCATCCCCATGTTGCCCACCTCCCCGCCCGTGGACATTTCCTTCCCCCTCCAAATCCTCCATCTCCCCCTTGGCTGCTGCTCAAGCTTTCCCGCCCCTCTGCTGAGGGGTCCCCCCTAGGGTCACCCGCAGTTGTCCTTAAACTGATCCGTGCTCTCAAAGGAGCCCCACCAGCGAGGCAAACAGAGCGAGGCGGAAAGAAATGCACACGGGCTCAACATGTGAAAGCCAATTGTTGTTCATACTTACATGGACAAGCACAGAGAAGCTGGAGACCAAACTACTCAGCTGCTTCAGGTCCTGAAAGGGGAAAAGTAAACTTAAGAGTTCTATGCTTACTAGATTGCACTGTTTACTTGAATTTGATTAATTGTTGAGCCATGCTCAGAGGGTCTGGAATGTCTCCTTGCAATGAACCGGCATTCACTGTATTAATGTAGGCAATTTTAAGGATTGGTCTTGGTCCCTAACCCTGCAAGCACAGGTCTCGGTACCTCTTCCAGGTTATCCCAAGACTCGGCAGCACTCTCTTCTACAGGTATCTCTGGCAGCTGGGTGTGGATTTGCCAGCCAGAAACGGACTCCTCGTCCATGTCGTCACCAGCATGTTGAGTGCTGGGCCCCCGACCGGATGGCAGAGCAAAGTCAGGTGGTGTCAAAGGCGCGATCTGAAGGGCGGGGTTGGAGTGTAACTGCAGGAAGTCTCGCGTGGCGGCCGACGCCCGGTCCTTGACCGGCTTGACGAGCTTCTCCAGAGCTGCCGCATCTTCTGCACGGACGCGGCCGCACAGCTTTTCCATCTCTCTGATGTTGGCTCGCAGTTGCTGCAAACAACCGGAAGACAAGATGATTGGCTGTCTGAGTTTTGTGAGAGGTAATACAAGATGAAACTCTCATTTATGTTCTTCTTTTGAGTTATATTTTTCCAAAAGATTTCTGCGGACTTTATGGGGTGCTTGACTTCAGAGGGTCCACTATATCTGCACATTTATCTTTCTGTCTGTCTGTCCAGTACACTTAACACAGAGTGCACAAACCCATGAGTCAGGATTAACATCATAAAGACACAGGAAAGCACTCTGTGTCCATCCCCGGGGCTTGGAGTGTGGTGGTGAGAGGATTGGTGGATGCCTATTGGCTTCCAAGTAACAGCATCCTTCTGGGAATTTCGCACCCATCATGTGCTGACACACACCCACAAAAACATTCATTCAAGGTTGGGCATCATTTCTTTTCTCGTTGTTATTCCCTCTTTCTCTCTCTTTTTTTTTTTATATGAATTTTGAGATTAGGGAGCAGATGCAATTACATTGGGAAGTCAAAATTTTAATGTCCAAAAGCCTGTATAATTTAAAGTGTTCAATATTGTCCCAGTGTGGGACAAATAAAGGTTATCTTATCTT